AAAAATGGCTACCCCACACAATTTTTACACATTATATGGATTGTGGCCCAAACAAAATAAATTTGCTGACCCATAGCGAAAGCCTCATTATAACGGATACTAGCCCAATTTGCTTTTCCTAACGTGTTGGAAAAAACAGGCTTTAGGCAGTCTAATATGGGTATCTTACAGAAATGTTCCAAAAAAATCCTAACATACCAACCTCTAGCCATTAATCATAGATTTACCAAAACTAGCCAAACACATATAAAAATTTAAAAAACACAAAAATAAGGTTCTTTCTCTCTAAGAATCACATACAAAGATCCCTTTTCATATTTTCAAACGTGATTAGCAACATTAGATTTAAGACGGAAAGGAAATTTTATGGATGAGATAGCAAATAAAGTGATGAAATATATATATAAGATTCTAAAAATCTAAGCAAAAAAAAGACTTTTTTCAATGGGTATGGTTGAGATTCATTGAGAACATATAGATGAGTCAATATACAAAATTTGAGGAAGATTGGAGGTGATTTGGTATCAAAATTCGTAGTTAAAATTAAGTTCAATAAATTCTTCTGCGACACATGTATCATGCATGTATCTCACATGCAGGTATATATGGATATATATGTGATACACAATTGATACAAATATGATACATATGTGATACACATTTGATATAATTTGATACAAATATGATATATATGTGATACACAAGTAATACACAGTGTGATACACCTACCTTTTTTTTACGTTTATCTTCTACTTCGAATTTCAATTTAAACCACCTCAAAACTCCACCAAATCATCCCAAAACTAAGATTCATGCTTCTTAAGATATACCCAATCTATTCTAATAACACACACTCAAAAGAAAGCAAAAAATTGACCTTTCTTGGCTAATATTAATAATATTTTATGAATTGGCCAATTTTTATAATAAGCTACTTATAAATGGACATAGCTAGTATTTTCCCGTCTAATATTAGGTTGTTCAAATAAAGGTTCATCCAAGAACTAAGGTAACGTCATAATTCAATCCAGTGCCCGCGGAAGCCACTAAAGCAATTGCTTTAGGTCCCCTAGATTGAAGGATCCTAATATTTTCAAATTATATATTATGAAATTATTAATAAAATATACTAGATTTTATACTTCCTTTTTAGATTGTAACAGAGGTTATTCAAATAAATAACTCGAGTATTATAAATATACAATACATGAAGTAAATAATTTGATAACGAATGCGTTAATCAAAGAACGAAATCTCTTGTATAATTGGAGTAACCTTTTGTCACTTCAGAATAGACTTGAACTATTCTAAAAGTATGAAATGTGGTAGAGAATTGTGATTACTAAATTATGAGAATTTATAAAAATATTATCTAAATCGTCATATATATTTCTTGTAAAAATATTATCAAAGCCTTAGTGAGTAGAATTACCAAATATTTGTAATGGTGAGAGCAGTAGGTAAATGAATGAATTATCAAGACACATACAAAATGATCGGTATACCATCATTATAAAAGAAAATTATACTATTTTATTAAATAAATTTAAGGCCTATCCTCCAACTTCTGTTACTAACAAAATTTCAGAAAGCTACACTATATAGTTCGCTCCCAAAAATAAGAGCCAGAAACATATATATATATATATATATATATATCATTGTAGAACCGGAATAGAAGAGCTTGCCCCACCCATGAGTAAATATATCATAGTAGCCTCATTAGACCGTACATCTTTCTTGGTATATCCAGATAATAGTAGGAGTATAAACTAAAACATTCTGGGGCTACAAAGATAGTTATTAAATCATTAGCACCGCATAAAAACATTCCCCATAGAGTAGTTGTTGATACGAATAAGAGAAACTTTGTTATAGTCATTCTTGTACATTCAATATACTATACGGATAGAGGAATACATAGAGTTGAACATAGAAAAATAAGAAATTGAAAGATTTCGTTGAAATTGTTCGTTTGGAAATTTCCCAAAAAGCTAATTATAGGTTCTTCTCTCCATCGGAACGATAGGCCGTTATGCTCATTACTAAACTTGTTGAAGAGATGAAATATAACCAAGGTATATATTTTTTATTAGAGGTTGAATCGATCATATATATATAATCAGTGTATATTTTTTGTATATTTAACTAGCGAATGTAATTATTTTTGGCCGACCCGCCAAATGTGTAACTTGCCTCTTTCAAGATTAACCTAGCTAATGTAATGTCCAAAGTATAGCAATTGAACGTCTAAACACATCCAAGCAAGACATAACTGCTTGTCTTTGGAATAAATTTCCTCTTTAGCTCGCAGAGTAGGAAATACCTATTCAGGCATTGCTTAACCATTTTTCCCTCAAGCTCTAGCTGTGAGTACGACTCTCAAAAAAGTAGGCTAGACTAAGGTCCCCCAAGAATTTCAAACTTAAAAGCCTTTTTCGTTTTGCGGCATATTTTCGTTTTATCTAGTAAGTTTGGAAAGATTATTATTTTCTTAATTACCTTATGTTTGACACAAGATTCATACATGCACTCACTACTCCAATTCTGCATCTGTTATAAGTATACTTTTCAAAGATTCAGATTTCAATTATATTTAACCAAACCTTATATTACAATTATCAAGTCACACTTATGAACCAAGTATGTTTTTTAAAGACGAATGAGCAAAAGAACCCAGCTGTAAATCATAACCCCGACTCTGATCGATTATTTTTGGGGAATGGAAATGCCAGAATTTGTCCTCTGTTTCAACTATAGAACATGATAAATAATTAAATTCTTCACAAAGGAAACTCTTCAGCAAAACAATTACACATTAATTAGACTAACTAGTAGCATTCAAATAGCTAGAAGTTCCACTACAATTTTATGGTTAGGGGTGTACATGGACCGGGTTGGTTCGGTTTTTATCAAAATCAAACCAAACAAATTATATCGGTTTGGATTGGTTCGGTTTTGTTGGGTTTTTCGGGTTTTCGGGTTTTCGGATTTTTTTGTTACATGAATATTATTTCAATCTTACTTTGTTAAAATTATAGATAAAGCTTTGATAAGTGAATATATGTTTAGTAAATATGGAAAAAAATTGACAAACATATGATCTATTAAAATATTTTTATGGGAGAATTTTTTTAGTAACACATGATAGTTATTTTCTTAGTCGTCTAACAATAATTTTTCGTTAATTTACGCTTTCAAGGTTAATACATGAAAGGATCCCAAATATTTCAATATTTTCTAAAGAAAATTCACTATAAAGTCTTAAAAATAAAAATAAAATTTATATATTTATATATCGGTTTGGTTCGGTTTTTTTTACTCAATACCAAACCAAGTCAAACCAAACCTAGTCGGGTTTTTTAATCGGTTTGGTTTAATTTTTCGGTTTGGTGCGGTTTTCCGATTCGGTTTGAACACCCTATTTATGGTAATGATATCAAATTTGGAGTCCATTTATCAAGTTCCGGAGTAAATATCTCAGAGTATTCACATCAGTAATTGGCTTTTCCAATTTTCAATCAAGTAATCACGAATAGTCCTATATAACGTAACGTCACAATGTCACCTTTCTGTAATTTTTGAAAAAAATAAAAAATAGTTCCCTTCCAATCCCAATCATTAGTAAGCTGAGGGTTGAGAGATAGCTCACTTAGCAAACTTCTCTGCCTTCTAAAGTTGAGGTGGAGGATTAAAACTCTATTACTAGCGGAATATTATCCTTTTCTTTTTATTTTTATAATTATGTGGGTCAGCTTGCACGCATCTCGACTAATTTCATGGAATACTTGCTACCTCCCACCAGCAATAGGTATCAGGTAACTATGTCCGTCAACGGTTCGACAAATGAGAAGAAATCACCTAGTATTTTCTGACTCTGCTGGGATGTGAACCTAAGACCTCATGTTCTTATAAACTTATTTTATTGACCACTATGTCATACCCAGGGTGCACCCTTCCCCTTCCCCTTCCCTGTGTAAAATTTTAAAAAAACAAATACAAAAAGATGGTGGGCTGCAAGTTTACCTTTTTCCTTGTATAAGATAAGGTTTGATTTTCGATTTTTCCTTCCCTTGTTGTAGTCTTCCTTCACTCCCTCAAAAGAAAAGGAAATAGTCTTCTTTTTAATAATAATAATAGTGGATTGTCAATATGTAAATTCTGGTTTCGACAATCTTTATCGAAGCATATATACCAGACGTACTACCTTAACGTTTAATGTTAAAATTTTAGGACATGCTGACAGGTGAATAAATAGTTTTTCCATACGGTCCAATAGGCAATAGGTGATAACTTTTCTTTTGATTTTATTTTTAGTTGTCCCCCTTTTGACTTTGCACTTTGTTAAGAAAAAATGAATGAATTATATATTTTATAATTTTACCCATAATAATGATACCATTTTCAAAAATTTTGGGATATGATTTAGGAAGTGAGTAGTTAATGAAAAGAGTAAAACATAAAAAATAAAATTATTTTTCTCTTGATTTAGTATAATAGACAAGTAAAAATAAATATATTTTTAATATAGTGCACAAAACATTTCTAAGTGTCTTTATCGAGGTGCGATAGAACACCCTATCAATAGCTTTTTGTGAAGCTTGGGACATCAAGCACCAGAATTTTAGCAAATATTTAGCCAAAAGCTAATCACAACATATTCCCCCTCCGTCCTATTTTATTGGCACAAATATTTTTATTTTTAGTCTGTTTAAAAAAACTGTCACTTATTTGTATTTAGAAACTCTTTAAAGAAACTCTTTAATCTGATTATTATTCTCATTTTATTAATTAGTACCCATTTGATATGGAGTTCACCTTTTTATGCGTAAAAAGAACATGAAGGATACGTGAAACTCTAAAAAATAACGTTTAACTGTTGATAGTAGTTGATATTTTGTATACATTTAGTTTTTATATGTACCAAAAATATTATTGTGTCTTAAAGTAAGTTAAACATAGATACATAAAATATGGGAAAAGAGGGAGTAACAATTAAATCATGAGTTCTGAAGAAACCACATTAATTAATGATGGCAAAAACAAAAAGTACCATAGCTATGAACTACAATAAGCTAGACAGATACATAGGGAATAAAATAACATGGTACTAATAGAGCCTAGCATAGACTAATTAATAATCCTAGTCAAAATTAACTTAAAACGCATTGGCAACGGTCTCAGCAAACCACAATCTTGATTTGTCCATCAAATCAGGGCTCAACCGAACCATGAGCACACAAAACTCCCTCTCATTCAAGCAACCATCTCCATCCAAATCTCCTTCTCTCAACATGCACATCAGCTCATCATCACTCATTCCCTGCAATCCTAGCAATGCAGAATTCTTCTTCAAGCTCTCGAACGTGATTACTTCCCTCTCCTCATCCATCAGCACCCGAAACCCGTTTCGAAGCTCCTTCAAGAACCCTTCTGACCCGAGCTTCTCCACCATTGACGGGAAGAAATCCTCGAACACCACGTCACGTCCCAATGCAGCCATTAATCAGTTGAAGCTTCGACTAGTGCGATATATATATAGGCTAATTAATCACCAGATTGAGATGTTTTGTTAATGAGAGGATCTAAGGACTCGATGTGCATATATATAGTGTATATGTAAAAGGTGGTGATGACCTGGAATAATAATGGATATGAAGAAGAGGAAGATGAAGAGGAAATTTTCGAGATGGAAACGAACAGAAAGAGGATAAAAAGGGATGGTGGCAAAAAGCAGTTGGGGGAAAGCATCGGTGGGGGAGTTTTCATGGTGGGGGAGACAGTAGACTAGTTTCGTGGAAGTTGCATGGAAATTAATACTCTCTGTTCATATGTGATGGAGCGTCTTTTATTTTTGCAGAAAGAAACATTTTTAGATTTGAAGGGCAATTTCCTATCTCTGCCGCAACAGACAACATACATGTACGCACCTTATTTACTCCATTTGGTATGCTCACTCCTTTATTCTTTGTCTCAATCACACCAAATTCTTATTCTTTTGGAGTTTTTCTTTTCAAATTTTCTTGTATTTATGTTGCGACTGTTGTGATAACCACGATGATTGTATGAGAAATTGACAAAATATTTCCCTTATGTTTGAGTAGGTCTAAGATATAGTCCCTTAATCAAATATACTCTTTTTGAGTAATTTTGGTTCTTTAAGTTTGTTAAAAATAACACTTTTGATCCCTGTCAAATATTTAATAAATTCCCTGATAAAATATATTCAAGAAACACCATGAATGTCCCTTCAAATTCCAAAGACCCCAACATTAAAAACTACCTTCAGAAACCCACAGCTTAAAGTATCGTACTCCCTTCGGTCCGTAATAAATGATTTTTTGGCTTTTGAAACACACCTTAAACAAAACTAATTCCTAGAAAAAGAAAATATATTTTGACTAAATTATCCTTAATTAAAATTAGCATATTGTTAATTTGACACATTGAGATTTGAAAACAAGGGCAAAATTTGAAAAAACAAAATTAATTCCTTCTTGATTATGTAAGAAATCACTTATTTTGGATCAAAATAAAAAGATAAAAGAATTACTTATTATGGACCGAAAAGAGTATCAGACACCATGAAAAAAGTGTAACAGAAATTGAACCTCCAAATATGAGTTCCCATTAATTTTTGTTGGTTAGCAGTTTCTGTTAAAAAATAGAATTTATTAAATACTTGACGGATATCCAAAGTGCCAAAATTGCGATACTACTCGAGCGTACCCTAAGCATAAGGGACCATTCTCGTCATTTTCTCAAAAAATATTTTTTCAAACTTTCTTTGAGCCCAATAATATTCTATTCCAGCAAGAATGACGAATTGATTGACGTACAAATTTTTATTTTGAATTCCGTGTATTACTTTTAGAAACTTAAATATTGTACTATTATTACGTAACATTTAAAATCTGAAAACTGTTCAACGTTCTAACATAGAGAGTATTATTCCTTTTGGAAGGAAGGAGTACTTTTTCTCAATTCAAGGATTATGGTAGAAAAGTTGTAGGTAATTGAGAGTTTCCATCTTTCTTACCGGTAGTACCGGTAGCACGCATATATATCTCTACTTTTCACATTTATATTACAGCATGTTGTTTAATTGGTTTCAGCTATCGTACTCTCCTGTGGTTACTAATTTGGCAATACTTATTCTTTTCTTCCCCTCCCCCCTCCCCTTCTCCCCCTCCCTTTATTTCTTTTCTTCTTCTTTTTCTTCATTTGCTTCTTTTTATTCTTTTCTGTATCGACCTGACTGTTTGTTTTGAGTATTTTAGTCTCGTTCTCCTATTTATTGCCTCTTTTATGTTATATTGTGGTTATGTGACATGCCGGGGTGGTTACTTTTGGTTTCGGGTGAATTTCAGAGTGAAAAGAGTACACTTAGTCCTTAAGTTGGAAGTTGAAGTTGAAAGAGTTATCAGGAGTTTGATTTTTATGTAGACGACTCCGGAATGGAGTTTTGACAGTTCCGACAGCTACGTATGATAGTTTTGGACTTGGGAGCGTGTCTGGATATTGATTTGAAGGTCCGTAGGTCGTTTCGGCTTGAATTGACTAAAGTTAAAAAGTTGAAAGATTGGAACGTTGAGAAGTTTGACCGGAAATTGACTAAAATATCAGGGTCAGATTTCAATTCTGGAAGTTGGAATAGGTTTGTTGTGTGATTTATGACTTGTGTGCAAAATTTGAGGTCAAACGGAGTTGTTTTGGTATAAATCATCATTAGTTTTGGAAATGCTACACCTGCTGATGCGCATCTGCGCCCAGGTGTCCGCACGCTTTCGCCAATTCAAGTTAAAACGACTTGCGAACCTTCAAATTAATATCCGGATATGCTCCCAAGTGCAAAATCACCATACGGAGCTATCATTACCGTCAAAACTCTATTCCGGAGTCGTCTACATAAAAGTCAAACTCTAAAAAATTCTTTCAACTTAAGCTTCCAACTTAAGGACTAAGTGTCCCATTTCACTCTACAACTCACCCGAAATCAAAACCAACCATCCCGGCAAGTCATATAACCACAATATAACATAGATGAGTTAATAAATAGGGGAACTGGGCTAAAACGCGGGTAGCTATTTTGAGAAAATAATTTTCAAAACTAAATATAAGGCTCCCACAATGATACAAGGAAAGATTGTGATTTGATTTGTGAAATGAAACTATGAAGCGGTACCTTGGTAGTGATTCTTGTTGATACCTTTCATTTACATCACTTATGTTTCCTTTGCATTATTTTCTTGGCATTATTATTCTGTGTTTCTTCCATGATGTCTTAATTGCCTTAGTTTCAGTTAGGGGCGGCTTCAATGTGGTAGTACAGATTCAATTGAACCCATAACTTTTGGATACGAAATAAAAATTTATGCATAAAAATTCATTAAAATTGCAAAAATAATAGAACCCATAACTTTAAAAATATAATGGGTTTAATGTTAATTTTTTTTTTTAAATTGAACCCATAAAGTTTAAATCCAGAATCCGCCTCTGGTCTCACTGTAGCTATTCTTGTTATATTTCTTCCTTGTATCATTTCCCTTGTTTTTATTATCATACTATGCTACAACTGTTCGGTTTCTTTATTTATACCAGTAGGTGTTTTGACCCGACCTCGTCACTAATCTACCGAGGTTAGACTTGATACTTACTGGGTACCATTGTGGTGTATTAATACTACGCTTTTGCATTTTTTTTGTGCAGATCCAAGTATATCATACCAACCTAGGTATCAGTGAGTTGCGCTTGGACCGGAGACTTTAAAGTAGATCTGCTAGCGTTCGTAGGCCTCGGAGTCACCCTCTATCTAGTTCTGCTTCATTCTCTTTTCTTTTAGATACTGTTGTATAATGACGTTCAGTATACTTGTGTAGAGCTTGTGACTCGGTATCACCAGATTTTGAGAGTTATGTTCAATTGTGTTGCAGAGTCCTTTTTAAGATAGTTATTGGTTAAATTGAAAGTTTTATTACTATTTCAGTTAAATTCTTCATGCATCCTAGGCTTACTTAGTATTAAAGACTTGGTGCAATCACGTCGTCCTACGGAGGGAGATTGAGGTCGTGACATTTCCTTCTTCTCTTCCTCCCTATCTTTTTGAGCCGAAGGTCTAATGGAAACAACTTCTCTACCTGCATTAGATAGGGGTAAGGTCCGCGTATACACTGCCTTCCCGAGAACGTATAGGAATATATTGGTTATGTTCTTGTCGTGTGTTTAATCTAACGAAAATGCCTAATTCACCTATATGATTGAGGGATGATATTGGACAATTGATTCGTGTTATGTTGTTGTTCCAAATATAAATTTAGAACTTCTTTTTAATTATCAAGTTAGCTAATGGCTATGTAATATTGAGATTGCTTATGAAAGAACAACATATAAAACTTTACATTAAGCTGACTTCTTCTCTCTTTTTTCCTTTTCTTTTAATTTGTTTTATTCAAGAAAGTTTACTACCTATAAAGCAACCCATTATTGCCAGCGAAATCCCAAATCAATGATATGTTAATTGCCAAGCTAAGTGAGTTGCAATTAATTGAGTGCGCAACTCTGAAGCCCAAAGCATGCTCTACATTTTTGCAGCAAGATGTGGCTCCTGATTGATTGCCTAAGCCATAATATATTTTCCTTTTATTTTTTTAATTGTTTTTGACATTCTTCTCTAGTTATTGCTCATTGATTCTTTCAAAATAATTCTTTTCCCAATTAGCACAATGTAATGGGTTACAAACCGCAAGGCACACAATATTTATAGACGCCTTGGTTTTGGTTTCTACCCGGTGTTCGGTACCTCCATTGAAGCCCGACTATATTCGGATTCACGCCGCGTAGGACCCCATTCGGGGGGAAGCGCTCCCTACCAAGGATATTTCCATACCCACAGCTCGAACCCGAGACCTCTGGTTAAGAAAAAAGCAGTCTCATTAACTACACCACATCCTTTGGTGGCATATAGACGTCTAACATTGTATCTGAACTTACCATTCCATTATTCGTTAGAGAAGTATAAAATAAGATACAAGGCTTTCTACATAAAGGGAGTTAGTTGCACTCAAGGGTATGACCTAACCATCAATGAAGTGGATGAAATCTTGCAGTTCAGGGTTCAAATTCTATTAGAGATGAAAAAACACTAAATAGTTATTGGCAGGAGATAGCAAGTATCGGTTTCTACATAAAGGGCGGGGGAGCCTCCAATTGTTATATTTCTCAAGGTTTTTAATTATTTGGTTGCTAAATATTATGTATGGATACATAGAAAATAAATATTGTAGTACATATTTTGTGGAACCAGTCCAGTGACTTGGCTCCTAGTAGGTCCTGAACATAGAAAAAGTTAAAAAAGGGGGAGTGAAACAGACTATATTTCGCATCATTAACAAATAGACAGTACATGCTATATCCATTTCTTTCATCTTAATTTTGAATAGTTTTCCCGATCTCTTTTTCTTCAATAAAAGGCTTTACAAGCAGAAGACGTATCGCCAGGGTAAATGCCATCCCAAAAAAACAAAAAGCAAAAACTTTAAAGCTATGACTTGGCTTGATCCTACTAAATGAGTATTGAGTGTACAAAGAAAACTAATAACCGTATCAAATCAAAAATTCGAGCCAAACCCGAAAAGAAAACTTCGATGAGGTTTGGTTTAATTTGTTTTGTTATTGGAAAAAAAATCCGATCATAATTGGTTTGGTTGGTTTTAACTAATAAAAGTCAAACCGAAACAAAACCAACCCGACATTATATTTATATAAATTTTAAAAATATTTTATACATATAAATATTTATTGTAATATAATTTATAAATATTTTAAAAACTTTTTCACAGTTTTATCTTTTAAATGNTATATATATATACTTCTTTCGGTCGAATATAAATAATTTTTGGCGCGTGCTAAAAGTAGTGATACCCGTTTAATGTATTATTTCAAACTTGGACTTAACATTTTTGAATGGTCCAATAAGTTTTATAGCCCATAATGGTAGTAACTCAAATAAAGTTCAAATCAATACTAATGCTAACAAAATAAATTCAATTCAACACTAGAAATGACACTTGTGTTACGTTGGATATCTATTTTTAGTTTTGCATTGGTTTATAATGAAAATGCATAACTTAGTTTATCTTTTTCTTTAGTGCTTAGTCATGTAATAATATTACTTATCAGATTTACTTATTATTGCATGACTTATATAGTACTTTTAGATTATGTTTTTTTTATTATGGCTTATTAATTATCAATATTTATGTTATGCGTTTTTATTATCTTTGTTATTGAATATTTTAGTACAATGATATAAATCTCATATTATTGTGTTATTTTCTTGAAAAATACATTATATAGTTGTATCCTATTAGGATTAAAATATTTGGAGTACAAGTTACATATTTTGTGCTATGAAGACTTTATCAGGAAAAAAAACGAAAAACTCGAGAAAAACTAAAATTGAAAACACGACTTTATTGGTTTAATTTGGTTTATAGATTTAAAAATCTGACACTATTAATTTGGTTTGGTGATTAAAAAATCCAAATTAACCCTATCCATGAATACCCCTAATAAATTCCTTCTAAGTCAATGAACTTTTTGGAAGCATTGGCCCCATCACGTTAATTGGAGCCTCGAATGTAACGAGGAAAATAACTAAGGAATAAAGATGTAGTCTGGGGACCATATTAACGAAGGTGATCATCGGGACTCTGGAGTAGCAAATTTCAAGTCGGCTTTTTCGTGAGTGATATGTGATTACTGATGATTGGTTAAATCATGAGGAGATATTTCCTTTCCTTTTTTATTTTTTTTTAGCCGAGATTCTATCAAAAATAATATTTTTACCTTTTCTTTGTCCTTCTAGGTAGATAAGTAGTGACGAATCCAGAATTTGAATTTTATGGATAAATATCGTAATTTCAAATTAATATATAATAATAACTGGATTCACGATTACATATTTATAAATATTCAGTGGATTTCTTAATAGAAATACAATGTTTTGCAAAAATTACTGAATTCCTGAGAACCTAGTAACAAAACTCTAGATCTCCCACTGGGGTAAGGTCGTCATATACTCTATTCTCTTCAAACGCCACTTGTAGAAGAATTATTGTTGTTGTAAGGAATGAGAGATTCAAAATAAGAATAACTACACGGATCCGCTACATGCTAATAAAAACACTATTGGTACAATGTACAAATTCTTTATAGTATTATTTATGAATGAAGGTGACACAAAGGCAGAAGTCCTATTGAAAAGGCTGTTATATTACTAGTGAAGTTGACACACGGGAAGCTTCCTACCCATGTTATATTGTGGTGCCGAGAATATGTTGACAATCTAATTCTAGTTTAGGATGGCTCAATCAGATATGCTGTTTCTACTTATTTTGTGAATTGGATTCACATTGAGAGACTATACTTGTTGACATTTATATATAGCATGGAAGTTTCCATACCGTTGATTTTGTTTGGTAACCCTTCCTGAGCTAATTGTCAATTACTAATAATCATAGTGTAGAAATCCAACTTGACGGCTCAACAAATGCATCTGATCCAGATCAACAGCTGATAAAGACGAAATTTATACAGTCAAACATACTGTAGAGAAGCAGTGTGAGAAAAATATCAAGAAAACGCTGCAACTATAGGAACATCCATTTCAGCTTATATTCAATTAATTCTCATGCAAATTGGCAGAATAAAACATCATAAGCAATGAAATTAAGCACTAGAAAGATACTTCTATTTCGAGTTGTTCTTGTTCTGGTTTTTTACATAGCAAATGCTTCAGACACCATTAGCACCAATAAATCCCTGCAAGATTCAGAAACTTTAGTCTCCAATGACAAAAGATTCATATTTGGGTTCTTTAGTCCAGAAAATTCAACGAATCGGTATGTTGGTATTATGTTTAATATCCAATCATCAACTGTTGTATGGGTAGCCAACAGAGACAACCCTTTACAAGATTCTAGTGGAAGTGTTACAATATCAGAAGACGGAAATCTTGTAATCTTGAATGCACAGAAGAAAAGTATATGGTCATCCAATATTTCAACAGCTGTGAGAAATTCTACTGCCCAGCTCTTGGATAATGGGAACTTAGAATTGAAAGACAGCTCCAGTGGGATGGTCCTCTGGGAAAGTTTCCGCGATCCTTCAGATTCCTTCTTGCAGTATATGAAAATTGGCGTCGATAAGAGTACTAACACAACAAATCTGCTGAAATCATGGAAAAGTCCTTCGGATCCATCTGCTGGGAGTTTCTCAGCTGGTATTCAACCTGAAACGGTTCCCCAGATTTACATATGGAAAAATGGGAGACTCCCTCATTGGCGTAGCGGTCCGTGGAATAAACAGATTTTCATTGGAATACCAGACATGACTTCTTTCTACCTCAATGGATTTGATCTAGTAAATGACAACAAGGGAACTGCATACCTCTCCTTTTTATACGCAAATCAGGCTGAGATTGCCTATTTCACCTTGAACTCAACAGGGTTTTTGCATCAGAAATATTTGGATCCTAAGAAGAATGATTGGGAAGTGACATGGGAAAGTCAGGTAAGCGAGTGCGATTTTTATGGAAAATGTGGGCCTTTTGGAAGCTGTGATCCTAGAAGCTCACCAATCTGTTCTTGTTTAGATGGATTTAAGCCGAAAAGTGAAGAGGAATGGAGGAAAGGAAATTGGACTGGTGGATGTCTCAGAAAGTCCATGTTAGAGAGTGAAAGAAACAACTCTAACATTGAGCAAGGTAAGCAAGATTGGTTTCTGAAGCTGCAGTCAATGAAAGTACCGGATCTTGCTATTTGGGTGCCTTTTGCCGATGAAGATTGTTATAAGGGTTGCTTGAGGAATAATTCCTGCATAGCTTATTCATACTACATAGGCATAGGATGCATGCATTGGGAAGAAATCTTACTTGATGTTCAGAAATTCTCCACGGGCGGGGCAGATTTATTTGTTCGCCTTTCGTACACTGAGCTTGGTAATACCTTTTTCTTTTCAGAACTATAATATAAGCTAGTACAAAACTCTGCTTACCCAAAACATATGTCTGATGTAAGCTTATTTCCGAATGCAGATCAAAAGAGAGATATGAAAGTAGCCATTGGGATCATAGTACCAGTAGGCTCAATAGTTCTTGCCATTTTTGGATACTTTTCCTGTAAATATTTAGCTAAGCACAGAGGTAACAATCTAATCTGTAACATTAGAAAATTTTTAGTAGCTTTAATCATTCATTATCAATTTATCTCTAATGTGTTTTTGAATCAGCAATGAGGAAAAAGAGTGAGCTCTTATTACGAGAATCATTGCCAAACTTCTACAAGGAAAGCTTGGTTACAGATGACATCAACCAAGCTAAATTTGAAGAGCTACTTGTATACAACTTTGACATCTTAGCAAGTGCAACCGACAATTTTCACTTGTCTAGCAAGCTTGGGCAGGGAGGTTTTGGTCCAGTTTACAAGGTAATGTTCTCTGTCATTGAGTCATTTATTATCTTTTTCAGAATAGAAATTGACGGAATATGATATAACTACAGGGAAAATTGCCAGAGGGAAAAGAAATTGCTGTGAAAAGGCTTTCACAGTCTTCTGGTCAGGGGCTAGAGGAGTTTATGAATGAGGTTGTGGTGATTTCCAAACTTCAACACCGTAATCTTGTTAAGCTCCTTGGCTGCTGCACAGAAAGAGGAGAGAAGATGCTGGTTTATGAATACATGCCAAAAAGAAGCTTAGATGCATATCTCTTCGGTTAGTTGATTACCATTACTTTTCTTTTATATCTCATAGGTCTAGCTAAAAAGGAAATTGTTTGTAATATTCTCAAACTTGTATATTTTTTAATGTACTTACAGGTTCAAACCCTGAAGAGAAAGAGTTCCTTGATTGGAGTAAACGTGTTATCATCATTGAGGGAATTGGTCGAGGCCTTCTTTACCTTCACAGAGATTCAAGATTAAAGATTATTCACAGGGATTTGAAAGCAAGCAACATTTTGTTGGATGAACAACTGAACCCGAAAATTTCAGATTTTGGCATGGCAAGGATTTTTCCAGGCAACCAAGATCAGGCCAACACAGAGAGAGTTGTTGGTACCTAGTAAGTTCGTGTATCTTTGTCTTTATCTTTCATGATTGCAAAGAATATACAAAGTAAACATTCAAAATTATAACATGATGCAGTGGTTACATGGCACCTGAATACGCAATGGAAGGAAGATTCTCAGAAAAATCAGATGTTTACAGTTTCGGAGTTTTGTTACTGGAAATTATTAGTGGAAGGAGGAATACTAGCTTTCACCAAGATGACTGTGCCTTAAGCCTTCTAGCATGTGTAAGTTCATATGAAAATTAAGCTACTACTACTTTTTATGAAATGTCAACTTTTCATAATTCAAGTTTCCATTGTGTTGTAAAATGCGCTTGCTCTTCAGGCATGGAAGTGTTGGAACGAAAATAACATTGTCGAATTGGTTGACCCCAAGATAATAGACATGCAGTTTGAAAGGGAAATTCTGAGGTGTGCACATGTTGGACTATTATGTGTTCAAGAATATGCAGAAGATAGACCAAATGTTTCGGTGGTTCTGTCTATGCTCACTAGTGAAATTTCTGATTTGCCAAGTCCTAAACAACCTGCATTTACAACAAGACCGAGCTGTTCCAAGAAGGAATCTTCTAAAACTCAAGGCTCTGTGAACACAGTTAGCATTACTATTATGGAAGGACGTTAAAACAACAACAACAACAACAACAAAAGTAAAAACCCCACTAGTGGGGGTCTGGAGAGGTAGAGTGTACGCAGACCTTACCTCTACCCCGGAGGGGGTAGAGAGGCTGTTTCCGGAAAACCCTCGGCTCAGAGACAAAAGATCCGTAACAACGGAAACTAGACAAATAACAACAACGATAAAACATTTTAACATTTTAAGTTGGACATGTATTTTATTCCTTCCCCTGTAATTAGGGATGTATCTGATTCTTTCCTGTAATTATTACTGCCTCTGATTTATTTGGTAATCATTCCACTCAATATGATCTCAATACATTAAGAATTCAAGAGAAAAGAGTAAACTGTGCAAGTCACTCATGCAGTGGGTGTTTAATCATAAATTCAGCACTAAGAACATCAGATTAATAAATTGTTTTAGTTCTTCACCCTCCACAAACACACACACATAACGCACAGAGAGAAAGCAATGCTATTGTTTGATGATAGAATCCATATCCAAGCAAGAAGATAGCAAAGACTTCAAACTCAAAGTTGTTAAGCAGTAGCCTAAAAAGATGTGTTTCCTGAAATTAGAGAAGTTCATCTACTACTAGATTTGGAGTTACCTTTCTTTCATGGGGAAAATGACTTCCATTACAGCTATCTTAACGTTTAATTATAATATCAATTGTTCCAGTCAACACTTAAAAACATTATTATCAATCTTTACCACTGATAATTTTTTAATCAAAACTGTATCTTATTTGCTAATATTACTATTATTAATGTTCAAAAGTGGCCACATTAAAAGTAAGAGAAAAATACTGACCTTTGGTCTTTCTCGGGAAAAAAAGCATTTGTTCGTATAGTTCAGCTTCTTATGTCCGATACTAATTACCGCCGCATCCAACTGAAATATATATAGCGTGGCTGGTCAGGATCTGAAACCTCTGCATTTTAATCTCCTCATTCAGGTTTTGATTTTGACATCTCGAGAGTAAATTATAAATCTGCTTTCATTATTTTAACCAACTCAGCCACTGCTCATATTAGATAATTTTGCAATCGAATGGATAGTATAATACGGGCAAATGCCCATATGAGGCCCATCAATACCAAAGCTCCGAATCTAATAAAATGAAGCGTTGCCTGGGGAAAGATATTCACAGAATACTCCAGAATACAGACAAAAATGACATTATCATATGTTCTAACAATACAAAAGCAAAATTTTGTAACAAACAAATTAGCAAAAGAAAAATAAAAGTTTCAAAGTTATATCCTTATCACTATAATTGGCTGATATGCAGGGGCGGAACTAGCACATTTCCTGTGGGTTCGGACGTAATTTTTGTTCAGATTGTTTATTTATTTTAAGAAATTTATTAAATATGTATAAATTATTAATTTAGAATTCTTTAACTTAAAAACTAGAATTCTGAATCCACAATTTTTATCAATTAACACCAAACGACATTTCCTTGCAATTTGGATATCTATATATAATGGCTAACTAACGCAGGGAAAATCAAGTAAATTAGGAACCCAATCAGAAAGTGACTTTGGAACATGTTCAAGAACTCCGACTGAAACCATTTTTTATCTAGTGTCAGCTAATCCTCCACCATTTTTACCCATAAATTGGAAGGTTCAATTTGTTTTTTTAATTAAGATTTGGTCAAATACACAATTCACATTCAATAATCAGAAATTATGTTAAAAAGGAAAATAAATTAAACAATTATTGTAGAATTATTTTTGAACCGTTCCTCCTGTATTCAAACATAACTCTATTAAATAACTGGGAAGGAAGTTTCCTGCCTATGTCATATAGTGGTGCAGAGATTAATTTGACAATCTTATTCTAGTGAAATATCCTTCTGCCCACTGCCTATGTTCGATCAACATATTATTTAATATGACATTTGAACTACCATGTTCAAATAAAGCGCTGACCCCAAAGTCGCAGCGTTACTTGTTGGTCATGTCCGGCTTAAGATTGATAAGGAAATATCATATTTTTGACATTTCTAATTAGCATGGAAATTTCCCTTATGTTGATGTGGTCTCCTTAGGCATCCTAAATTAATGATCAAACATTTTAGTAATCACCAACTGTATGAAATCCAATATGACGGGTCAAGAGGCACTGATTCAGACATTTGTTGTTGACAAATAAGAAAAGAATTATCGTGAAATACTGCAACTATAGGAAAATGAATTTCAGATGACAACCCCAGTTCTCGTGCTTATTGGCAGAATTAAAGCTTGATAAGTAATGAAGCTAAGTTGTAAGAAGATTTTTCTTTGGCACGCTGTTCTTGTTCTGTTTTTTCATATAGCAAATGCTTTATCAGACACCATTAGTATCAATCAATCTCTGAGTGGTTCAGAAACTTTAGTTTCCAAAAATAACATATTCATATTGGGATTTTTTAGTCCTGAGAATTCGACGAATCGTTATGTTGGTATTATGTTTAATACCCAATCACAAAGTGTTGTATGGGTAGCCAACAGAGACAGTCCTTTACAAGATTCTAGTGGAAGAATAACTATATCAGAAGGTGGAAATCTTGTAATCTTGAATGCACAGAAGAAGAGTATTTGGTCATCCAATATTTCAACAGCTGTGAGAAATACTACTGCCCAGCTCTCAGATACTGGAAACTTAGTTTTGAAAGACAGCTCCAGTGGGAGAACTCTATGGGAAAGTTTTAGTGATCTTTCAGATTCTTTCTTGCAGTACATGAAGCTTGGCAGCGATAAGAGTACTAACACGACGAATCTGCTGAAATCATGGAGAAGTCCCTTAGATCCTTCTGATGGGAGTTTCTCAGCTGGAATTCAACCTGAAACCATTCCCCAAATTTTCATATGGAAGAATGGCTTACCTCATTGGCGTAGCGGTCCATGGAATAAACAGATTTTCATTGGAGTACCAGAAATGACTTCTTTCTATTTCAGTGGATTTGAGCTAGTAAATGACAACATGGGTACTGCCTACTTCTCCTATACATATTCAGATCAAGATGATGGGATGCTCTACTTAGTCTTGAACTCAACTGGATTTTTGCAGCAAAAAGAACTATATGATAGGAAGAATGACTGGACCGTAACATGGGCAACCCCTGCAAATGAGTGTGATTTTTATGGAAAGTGTGGGCCTTATGGAAGCTGCGATCCTAATAGTTCACCAATTTGCACTTGTTTGCAAGGGTTTAAACCAAAAAGTCAAGAAGAATGGGGAAAAGGAAACTGGACCAATGGATGCATCAGAAAGACTGCATTAGAGAATGAAAGAAACAACTCCAACATTGAGCAAGGTAAGCAAGATTGGTTTTTGAGGCTGCAGTCAATGAAAGTTCCGGATTCCGCTATTTGGGTATCTTTGGATGAAGAAGATTGTGAAAGTGGTTGCTTGAGGAATTTTTCCTGCATAGCTTATTCATACTACATAGGCATAGGATGCATGCATTGGGAAGGAATCTTACTTGATGTTCAGAAATTCTCCACGGGCGGGGCAGATTTATTCATTCGTCTTTCGTACACTGAGCTTGGTAATACCTTATTCTTTTCAGAACTATAATATAAGCTAGTACAAAACTCTGCTTGCCCAAAACGTAGGTCTGATGTAAGCTTATTTCGGAATGCAGATCAAAAGAAAGATATTAAAGTAGCCATTGGGATCGTAGTACCAGTAGGCTCAATAGTTCTTGCCATTTTTGGATACTTTTCATGTAAATATTTGGCTAAGCACAGAGGTAACAATCTAATCTGTAACATTAGAAAATGTCCAGTAGCTTTAATTATTCATTATCAGTTTATCTCTAATGTGCTTTTGAATCAGCAAGGAAGAAAAAGAGTGAGCTCTTATTAAGAGAATCATTGCCAAACTTCTACAAGGAAAGCATGGTTACAGATGACATCAACCAAGCTAAATTTGAGGAGCTGCCGTTATACAACTTTGACATGCTAGCAAATGCAACTGACAACTTTCACCTCTCTAGCAAGCTTGGGCACGGTGGTTTCGGTACAGTTTACAAAGTAATGTTCTCTGTGATTGAGTCATTTATTATGTTTTTCCAGAATAGAAATTGACGGAATATGATATAACTACAGGGACAATTGCCAGAGGGACAAGAAATTGCTGTGAAAAGGCTTTCACAGTCTTCTGGCCAGGGGCTAGAGGAGTTTATGAATGAGGTGGTGGTGATTTCCAAACTTCAACACCGTAATCTTGTTAGACTCCTTGGCTGCTGCATAGAAAGAGGGGAGAAGATGCTGGTTTATGAATTCATGCCAAAAAGAAGCTTGGATGCCTATATCTTTGGTTAGTTGATTACCATTACTTTTCTTTTATGTTACATACTGTCTAGCTAAAAGGGAAATTGTTTGAAATATTTTCACTTGTATGTTTTTCAATATACTTACAGGTTCACACCTGGAAGCAGAAGACTTCCTTGATTGGAGTAAACGTGCAATCATCATTGAGGGAATTGGTCGAGGCCTCCTTTACCTTCACAGGGATTCAAGACTAAGGATTATCCACAGGGATTTGAAGGCAAGCAACATTTTGTTGGATGAATACCTGAACCCCAAAATTTCAGATTTTGGCATGGCAAGGATTTTTTCAGGCAACCAAGATCAGGCCAATACAAGTAGGGTTGTTGGAACCTAGTAAGTTTGTGGATCTTACTCTATATTTTTCTGTGGTTAAAATGAAAATAACAAGCAACCATTCAAATTCATAATGTGATGCAGTGGCTATATGGCACCTGAATATGCAATGGAAGGAAGATTCTCAGAAAAATTAGATGTTTACAGTTTCGGAGTTTTATTATTGGAAATTATAAGTGGAAGGAGGAACACTAGCTTTCACCAAGATGATTGTGCAATAAGCCTTCTAGCATATGTAAGTTCATATGAAAATTAAGCTCCTAGTTTTAATGAAAAGACAACTTTTCATAATTCAAGTTTCCTTTGTCTTGTCATTGCACTTGCTCTTTAGGCATGGAAGCGTTGGAACGAAAACAAGATAGTCGAATTGGTTGACCCCAAGATAATTGACCTGCAGCTCGAGAAGGAAATTCTAAGATGTGTACATGTTGGACTATTGTGCGTACAAAAATATGCAGAAGACAGACCAAATGTCTCCACAGTTTTGTCTATGCTCACCAGGGAAATTGCTGATTTACCAAGTCCTAAACAACCTGCATTTACAACAGGACCAAGCTGTTCCAATAAAGATTCCTGTAGAACTCAAGGCTCTGTCAACACCGTTAGCATTACTACTATGGAAGGACGATAGACGTCTTATATTTTTTATGGTTTAATTTCCTTCTTGTATGTGATTTTTTAAAGTAATGGCTGTTAGGAGTTGTTTTGATTTTCTTACCATATTTGGTTTTCCTATCTCTTGAAGGAAAGGGCAACATATTTATCATAATTGGGTTTTCCTTCTTGTAGAAAGAAACTATAAATCTCCCATATTTGGCTAGTCCCTTTTTTGTAGGAAAATGTTTGGACTTTTATAAATCGAGGATCATCTTTTCTCATTCAATAGCATCCACAATGTAGCCATATGAGGTTTGAGAGTCATGTTTAGGGGAAAAATTTTACGGAACAAGTGTTAGTGTGTCACTTCGTAAGGTTGTTCTATCAATATTTTTGTACTCTCTTTTATATATTGGATTGGTCATCTCCACCGTGGACGTAGGTCAATTGACTGAACCACGTTAAATGTTTTTGTCTCTTTTGGTATATTTCTCTTTTGTTGTATGATTTATCGTCGTTCAAAGTTTGCGTTACTAGCTTCTGCATAACACCTAATTATTTCGGACCTAACAATGACTTTACTCAAAGTTTTCTCAGTTATATTAAGAATCCATTAGAAAATGCAGGTTTATGAATACATGCCAAAAGAAGCTTGGATGCCTACCTCTTTCTTTAATTGATTCTATGGAAAATTAATCTGAAATATTAACTTCAGACTTTCTATTTTTTAGTGTACATTCAAGCCATATTATTGGAGTCAACATGAGATCATCATTGAGGGGATTGGTGAGGAATTCTTACAGAGATTTGAATGCAAGCAACACTTTTATTGGATGAAGACTAAACCCGAAAATTTAAGATTTTGGCATGGCAAGGATTTTGCTGACGACTAAGACCAGTTGTACTATATTTCATGGTTTAAAAGAAGACAACAAGTGTGATTTGTGATAAGTTCAGCTGCTTCCAACTACCAATTCTAGAAGTCCACCATTGTTGACGCCACCAACCCATTCTAGAAGCCACCATTGTTGAAGCCTCCATTGTTGAATGAAGAATTCAACTACCAACCACCTTCTTTAAGGCTATAAATAGAGCTTTATGTTTTACACAGAAATATCAATCCAGAGAGATTGAAATACAATCCAAGAAGAGATTGTGAGAACAAAAAGAGAGTTTGGTGAGGTTTTTTTGTAGAGAGAAATTCTTGGTGTAAATTCTCCTTAATTCTATTCTTGTGAAATAGAGTTATTTTTCCTCCCAAATAATCTTCATATTGATCCGAGAATCACAACAAGTGGTATCATATTTCTGTGTTCATCGAGAAATATCGAAACACTGAAAATTTCAACCCGGATTTACGTTTTTCGAAAACGTGATCTTCAGTGTGTTTTGATCATTTCATTAGATTCCTTGCGTCGATACGAATTCAACGCAATTTTCCGGAGCCAAAACAAAGCTAAAACAAAGAAGTTATGGCAATTTAAATTTTACTATTTTTTTTTCTTCTATCCAAGGAAGAAGATGATGAATAGTAATTGCCCAGTCAGCGCCACGTCATCATCCAGTCAGCATCTAGTCAGCGCCCAGTCATCATAAATTTTCAAAAATTTATGAAATAACCCCTGAAGTTACTGAAATTATAAATCTGCCCCACAAGTTCAGCATATTTTCGATTTAACCCCCAAAAGTTTGGTGTAAATTTTGAAAATTTTTTGAGACCCTATTTTGATCCAAGAAGAGTCAATCCTACCAATTTTCACCATTCTGGACGCGTTGGTGAGGTTCGTTTGGTGAGATTCTGCTCCAAACTTTTGACCAAGCCATTTTAAAGATATAATGGAAGAGTCATCATCATCTGAAGCTATGATAAAGCTTACTGCCACAAATTACACATTGTGGAGACCTCGTATGGAAGATCTCCTCAGTTGTAAAGATTTGTTTGATCCCAAGAAGCAAAGGGTAAGAACCTCGATTCCACCAAAGAAGCAGAGTGGAAGAAATTAAACAGAAAAACTATCGGTCAAATTCGACAATGGATTGACGATAGCATTTTTCATCATGTTGCACAAGAGACAGACGCGTATGCCCTCTGGGTGAAGTTAGAAGGGATGTATCAAGCCAAGACCGCTAGGAACAAAGCCTTGTTGATGAGGCGTTTGGTAAATTTGAAGTTAAAGCACGGAACTTCAGTTGTCGAGCATACCAATGAGTTTCAGAGCTTGATAAATCAATTATCGTCTGTTGACATGCCGCTCGGGGATGAGATGCAAGCCCTACTACTTCTTAATTCTCTTCCTGATAGCTGGGAAACGCTGGTAATCTCTCTCAGTAATTCAGCTCCTAGTGGAAATCTGACCATGTTTATGGTTAAAGATGCCTTATTTAATGAAGAAGGCAAAAGAAAGGACATCGATCATGGTGAGTCGCATGCCCTTATTACAGAAAGAGGGAGACAACAAGAAAGAAGTCAAGATAAGAGGAGAGGCAGAAGCAAGAGTAGGGGAAAATCCACAGATAGTATGAAGTCATCTTATGCGTGCTACCATTGTGGAATAAAGGGCCATTTAAAGAAGAACTGCAGAAAATTGCATAAGGAGAAGGAGCAGTTGAAGCAGAAGGATGGAGATGCATTAGTCACTACCCACGGAGAGGTAGCCATTTGTTCCATCCAAGAAGAGACATGCCTTCACGTCTCAAGTCAAGAAGAAAACGAATGGGTGGTAGATACTGCAGCATCATACCACGCCACATCCCGAAAAGATTTCTTCACAACATACAAAGCAGGAGACTTTGGAGTAGTGAAGATGGGGAACACTTCTTCCTGTGAGATAGTTGGAATTGGCGATATCAAAATACAAACAAATATCGGGAGTACAATGATATTGAAGGATGTCCGTTATGTGCCAGATCTTCATCTAAACCTAATATCAGGTATAGCTCTTGACAAACAGGGCTATGAAAGTTATTTCGGAAAAAACACATAGAAATTGCTGAAAGGGGTTATAATTCTAGCTCGAGGACATATTTGTGGCAACTTATATAAAACTCATTTGAAGGTATATTCAGACAGCCTTAATGTTATGGAAAAAGATGCATCTCAAAACCTATGGCACCAGAGACTCGGTCACATGAGTGAAAAGGGGATATCAATTCTAATGAAAAAGCAGCTTATCAGAATGGACAAGAACGCTGCTTTAGACCCTTGTAATCATTGCTTATTCGGAAAGCAACATAGAGTCTCTTTTACATTTTCTTCAACCAGAAAATCAGAGTTACTCAGTCTGGTACACTCTGATATTTGTGGTCCCATGGAGGAGAAATCACTTGGCGGCAATAGGTATTTTCTGACTTTCATTGATGATGCTTCTCGAAAGGTGTGGGTGTACTTCTTAAAGACAAAGGACCAGGTTTTTGATTATTTCAAGATATTTCATGCCATGGTAGAGCGTGAAACGGGAAAGAAATTAAAATGCCTTCGCTCAAATAATGGAGGCGAGTATACTTCCAAGGAGTTCGATTCTTATTGCAAGGGACAAGGGATTCGACATGAAAAGACGGTTCCACGCACCCCACAACACAATGGAGTAGCCGAGAGAATGAACCGGACTATTATGGAAAGAGTCAGAAGTATGATCAGTATGACAACGCTGCCTAAGCCATTCAGGGGAGAAGTTGTTCGCACCGCCTGCTACCTAATCAACCGGTCACTATCAGCCCCGTTGAATTTTGAGGTTCCAGAGAAAATATGGTCTTGTAAGAATCCCTCATATTGTCACTTAAGGGTATTCGGTTGTTTAGCACATGCACATGTATCCAAGGAGCTCAGGAAGAAGCTTGATGGTAGAACTATACCATGTATCTTCATAGGCTATGGAGATGAAGAATTTGGGTATAGATTATGGGATCCAATACAGAAGACGGTGATCAGAAGTAGGGATGTTGTATTCCACGAAAACCAGACAATTGAAGACATTGAAAAGCCCACAATATCTTATGAAAGAGGTTCCAGTGCCCAAAAAGTTGGTCCAGATCCACTACCATTGCAGTTTGACACAAATAGCATGGGGGAGCATGAAGCAGTACCAGAAGCAGAACAGGAGGATGTTTGGCAGGGGGAGGCACAAACCCCTCAGGAAACTACAGAACCATCACAGGGGAACGATGATGGTACACATCCTGAAGCTAATAATCAACAACCTCGTCGATCTGAACGAGGTCAGATTCCATCAACTCGATACCCAGAAACCGAGTATATTCTACTTTCTGAAGATGGAGAACCAGAGAGTTTCCATGAAGCTATATCTCATACGGATAAAGAAAAATGGCTGCAAGCAATGACCGAAGAGATGAACTCTTTACAGAAAAACAACACTTATGAGATTGTGAAACTTCCACAAGGAAAGAAGGTACTGAAGAGTAAATGGGTATTCAAGCTGAAGAAAGATGGCAGCGGAAAGGTGGTGAAGCACAAAGCCCGGTTAGTAGTCAAAGGATTCCTACAGAAAAAGGGAATTGACTTTGATGAAATATTTTCACCAGTTGTAAAATTGACTTCAATCCGCATCATCCTTGGATTGGTAGCCAGTTTGAATTTGGAGCTTGAACAAATGGATGTCAAGACAGCATTTCTTCATGGTGATCTAAATGAAGAAATCTATATGGAGCAGCCGGAAGGTTTTGAGGTTTCAGGAAAAGAAAACCTCGTCTATAAGCTTACGAAAAGTTTATATGGCCTAAAGCAAGCACCGAGGCAGTGGTACTAAAAGTTTGACTCATTTATGGTAAGTCAAGGATATAAAAGGACTGTTGCAAATCAGTGTGTTTACATTTAGAGATTTTCGGATGGCAATTTTGTTGTACTTTTACTTTATGTAGACGACATGTTGATCGTCGGACAAGATGCAACAAAAATTAGACAGTTGAAGAAAGAACTCTCTAAGTCCTTTGAAATGAAAGACTTAGGTCCAGCTCAACATATTTTGGGATTGCAGATAACTCGAGATAGGAGAAACAAGAAGTTATGGCTATCTCAAGAAAATTATATTGAACGGGTGATCAAACGGTTCAACATTTAGCGAATAAAAGTCAACTTTCCGTTGCTCAATTTGCTATTGTTTTGTCAATGACTTTGCTCTTCAGGCGTGTTAATTGAATGAAAACATGGTTTGTCAAATTGGTAGACCCCAAGATAATAGATAAGCAGTTTGAAAGGGAACTTTTGCGATGTGCGCGTGTTGGACTATTATGTGTTCAAGAATATGTAAAAGATGGATATAATTGTATCCATGGTTTTGTCTATGCTCGCTACCGAAATTTCTGATCTACCAAATCCTGAACAATATTTACAACAAGACTATATAAATGAGGCGAGTCATAATCACTTATTTGGAGAAAAATATTTTCAACGATTCAAGGTAACAAACCACTATATAGAATAACAATTCTAAATAGATGTCATCACTCATCAGGGAAAAATAAAAATTTCTGACTTTTAATGAAATAAAAAGAAAGGAAAAATAAAAATTTGATCACTATCTTATACTTAGAGTATATAGCTTTTACATGGATGAGAGACACCCTTCCTTGCCCAAATTTTTTTTACAGAATCACAGGTATCAAATGCACAAGAAATACTCAGAAATACAGTACGCGTAGAGTTAGAAGCCAAAATGGCCACTAAAGAAATCATTTAAGACACAGGCCCAACAATTAATTGACAACTGATTGAAAAGTAAACTGAAGAGAAATATATACGTATTAAATTTTAAGTATTAATACAACTTATTTTCGTGGCTAAAAAGTAAAAACAAAAAAAAAAGGGTGGGGGGTCATCCTTGAAGTTCTCAGCTCTTACATTTCAAATGATCGACTGAACCTGTTGGCAGAAAATAGGATGAGCTTATCTCTGTTTTGTCATCTCTTACTTTGTTGTTTTTATGAAGTTTTTTCCAGCGCCAGTGCCTCAGATACCATTAGCAGTAGTGCACCCGTGAGAGACTCGGAAACTGTATTTTCCAGAGGCAGAAGATTTAAACTGGGATTTTTCAGCCCTGGGAATTCTGCAAATCGTTATGTAGGTATTATGTTTAACCTACCATCACCAACACCAACTGTAGTATGGGTAGCTAACAGAGACAAACCTTTACATGATTCTAATGGAATACTCACAATATCAGAAGATGGGAATCTTGTAATCTTGAATGGACAGAAGCAGATTGTTTGGTCATCCAGTGTTTCAAACTCTATAAGGAATTCAACCGCCGGGCTCTTGGACACTGGCAACTTAGTCCTGAAAGACAGCTCAAATGGGAGAGTTCTATGGGAAAGTTTTCAATACCCTACAGATTCTCTCTTACCGTTGATGAAAATGGGGATTAATAAGTTTACTAACACGACGACTTTCCTGAAATCATGGAGAAGTCCTGATGATCCATCCATCGGGAGTTTCTCAGCTGGAATTCAACCTCAATACCTTCCCCAGGCTTTTATTTGGAACAATAGCTCTCCTTACTGGCGTAGTGGTCCATGGAATAAACAGATCTACATCGGATTACCAGAAATGAAATCTTTTTATGACTCTGGTGTTGACCTTGTAGCTGATAATGCAGGCACCGCATACCAAATTTATACCAACCCAGATCAGTCTTCGATACTCTATTATTCCTTGAATTCCACAGGGTCTTATCAGGAGAAAGTTTGGGATCCAAATAAGAAGGATTGGATGGTAGCATGGGCTAATCCCCGAAGTGAGTGTGATTTTTATGCTAAGTGCGGGCAATTTGGAAGCTGTAACCCTAAGAATTCTCCAAAGTGCAGTTGTATACGAGGGTTTAAGCCGAAAAATGAAGGAGAATGGGGGAAGGGAGATTGGAATGGTGGATGCATCAGAAATACTGCACTGGACTGTGAAAGAAACAAAACTGATGTTGACAAGGGAAAGCAGGATGGGTTTTTGAAGCTGCAGACAATGGGAGTGCCAGATTTTGCAATTTGGGTATCCTCTACAAAAGAAAACTGTGAGAATGATTGCTTGAAAAATTGTTCCTGCATGGCATATTCATACTACACAGGCATAGGTTGTATGCATTGGAATAGAAGCTTAATTGATATTCAAGAATTCTCCACGGATGGGGCGGCTGATTTGTTCATTCGCCTTGCCTACTCTGAACTTGGTAATATACTTCTTTTCAACCTTAAGCTTTTAGTTGTTTAGCTTATGTTATTGGAACAACAAGGTGAGTTGAATTTAATGTCTTCTAGTCTTTGATAAATATGAAAGGGAGCCTTGGCGTAACCGGTAAAGTTGTTGTCATGTGACCAGGAGGTCACGGGTTCGAGCCGTTGAAACAGCCTTTTGCAGAAATATAGGATAAAGCTGCGTACAATAGATCCTTGTGATCCGGCCCTTCCCGGCCCGGACCCCGCGCATAGCGGGAGCTTAGTGCACCGGGCTGCCCCTTTAGTCTTTGATAAATATAAACAAGAAACTCCTGATACTTTCTACACTCTCAAGAACTGTCTATGACTCATACAAGTTTTGCAGATGCAAATCACAAGAAACGCATCCCTGTAGTTGCAATCACGGTGTCGACGGTCTCGGTAACAGTTACCTTATGTGGATACCTTTTCTGGATATTGTTTACTAAGCATAGAGGTAATTAATCAAATAAGATATCTGATACTAGGGCTTTTACTTTGTAGATCATTTGATTTCTGAATATCCATTCTGAACCAGGAAGGAAGAGAAAAAATGAAGCATTCTTAAGAGAAGCATCTCCAAACTATTACAAGGAAAGCATGATTAAAGATGACATCAACAAAGTCAAAATTGAAGACATGACATTGTACAGCTTTGACATGTTAGCAAATGCAACTAACAAATTTCACTGGGCTAGCAAGCTGGGGCAAGGAGGCTTTGGTCCGGTCTACAGAGTAATGTCTCTCGATGCAGCTCTATGTGTTTTGACAAATGAGCAAAATATGGAATAAATTGGATCAATTGTCTGCAGGGAAAATTTCAAGATGGACAAGAAATTGCAGTGAAAAGGCTTTCACAGTCTTCTAGTCAGGGGCTAGAGGAGTTTATGAATGAAGTCGTCTTGATCTCTGGACTACAACATCGTAATCTTGTTAGACTTCTTGGCTGCTGCATAGAGAGAGGGGAAAAGATGTTGGTTTATGATTTCGTGCCGAATAGAAGCTTAGATGCATATATTTTTGGTTAGTGCTTAACTTTCTTTCATTGTTTTTGCGTGTTATTGTTACTTAAGGACTTCCAAAATCAAACAAAAGCTGTACTGTCTTAAGGAAACAAAATCCATCAAACATTTCTTCCTTTTTAGGTTCACACCAGGAAAAGTTCCTTGATTGGAGTAAGAGAGCCATCATTATTGAAGGAACTGGTCGAGGCCTCCTTTACCTTCACAGAGACTCGAGACTACGAATTATTCATAGAGATCTGAAAGCAAGCAACATCCTGTTGGATGAACACCTAAACCCACAAATTTCAGATTTTGGCATGGCGAGGATATTTGGAGGAAATCAAGATCAGGCCAACACAATAAGAGTTGTTGGCACATAGTAAGTTTGGATTGCTTCCTTAATTTTGTCATGGATGAAATGACATGATTAGTTATTGGGTCTCTTTTTTTTATATGTTATGCAGTGGTTACATGTCCCCTGAATATGCAATGCATGGAAGATTCTCAGAAAAATCAGATGTCTACAGCTTTGGAGTGTTGATATTGGAAATTGTCAGTGGAAGGAAGAATTCCAGTTTTTACAACGATGAAGATGAACTGACTCTATTTGCATATGTAAGTTCAGTCTTGCATACTCATGAAGCTTTAATGTCTTTGATTACTTATAAAAAAATGATAAAGATAGAGAAAAAACACGAAACTTCTGAACAAAAACTTTTCACTGTTTGTCAATGTCTTTGCTCTTCAGGCATGGAAGTTGTGGAAGGAAAACAATATTGTAAAATTGATAGACTCCAAAGTATTTGATCCAAGATTTGAGAAAGAAGTTGTGAGATGTGTACATATTGGATTATTATGTGTTCAAGAATATGCAGAAGATAGGCCAAATGTCTCCACGGTTCTATCAATGCTGACTAGTGACATTGCTGACCTACCTACTCCTAAGCAACCTGCATTTACCGGAGGACGTGGTTCTTCAGAGCAAGGATCTTCTAATAGCCAAGGTTCTGTGAATACTGATTCCATTACTGTAGTGGAACCACGATAGGCTGTAAACGGGGGCGTACCCAGAAATTTTGTAAGCGTTGTCGAAATATGTAGAAGAACTGGAATATAAATTTGATTATAATACTTTTAAACAAGAAATAGCCTTAATCTAATTGATTTTGTTAAGTCTTAAGTTAGAAAAAGTCTCAAGTTCAATTGTAGTTATCACAATTTTTAACCACAAAGGCTCTCTCAAATATTTGCAAAATAAAAATATAAGCTAGTTGGGGTTTGAACCCATGATCTGTTAGAGCAAAATCAAGCACATAACCAACACGCCAAGACAAAATTTATGTCATGTAGGTCATTTTTTCCTACTTAACTTTTCGTACACTATTAATAAATATATTTAGTAAAATTTTCCAATGAAGTTGTGTTGCATGACACCACTTCGGCAAGCATGCATCCACCCCTGGCTGTAAAGTTTTCAACAGGCAGGCAAAGATCATTTCTTTCCTTAAATTTGTATCTGTAGCTATTTCTTTTTCGGATGCCTTCCCAAAAATCTGTAATATTTAATCGTTGTGAAAAAAAATCTAAATTTACAACTATGATCAACATTATGTCAAGGAGTTATCTTTCTGACAAAAGGTATTTCTTATGAGTACGATCAAATCTCGAAGTCTAAGGCCCAAAGTTCTTGGGATTCTATCCAATTCCTAGCAACAAAAAAAGGGATGAGCAGCAACATTATTACTGTTTAATTGCAGAATGGTTCCTTCCTATAGCCAAATGCTATACTATACGCAACAAGATAAAGAAGAAATCAAGAAGACAACAAAAACGAAAATACTACACTTATGCATGTAATGAACTAAAAACAGGAACAGGAATCACTTTTAACAATTTCTCAAATTATCCAAAAAAGTATTTTAAAAAAACTCGATTTACTATAAATTTTTAAACAAGATTCTTACATTGAATCTTTAGCCTTGCATTATGAAACTCCTTGGAAAGAAACTAGACTAAGGAAAAAATCATAGATCTGATGAAATCCCATGAATAGTTGATCTACATGTAGCAATTAACAACTTCTAATAATGGCAGTCAAATACTTCAAAATTTTCACGTTCTGATGCACGGAACGGTGATGAATGACCAATCCTTTTACCTCTGTTTTTCTAATCTAATTTATAGAAAATTGCAGAGATCATGTGGTGTTATTCTTAATAAATATGGAAAATTTTAGTAATTATAGAAGCTAAGTGAATTGGTGGATTAATCAACATTGGGGAAAAACTATTATGAGAAATTAGGAGGAAAAAATGTTGTATCTGCAGTGTTTTAGGCTATATCACTAACAAGAAAAGTGATAATTTTGTGGATGGGATTTTCCGTTTTAGGCTTACAGCACGGTCTTCTTTTTTTTTTTTTTTTTTTTTTTTTTTTTTTTTAAAATAACATCTTCGGTTCCAAAGAGGATAATCAAACAAAGGTAATTAGCTCAAAAGGGTTAGCAAAGGGTTGATGGTGTTTGGATAACGAGAATGAAAGTTTTTGTCATCCCAATCAGAGAACACTAATGCTACATAGAGGGTCAAATAACAAGGAAGAGTAAAGCATTAAACTTCTAGTTAATCCTNTTTTTTTTTTTTTTTTTTTTTTTTTTGGTCACACAACCCTTAATTCTAGATTTATGGAAGAATGAGTTCTGCACAATTTCCCCAAGATACAGGATGGATTAGCAAATAGAAAAATACCATGTGATATATATTTTGAGACTCTCAAAATAGACAATTGGGACATTTGGGGAACAATTTTGAATAATATCAAATAGAATTTATTCGATTTATCCAAAATGAAAATTTATCATCCATCTTTAATATGGCCAAACGAATGAATAGAACAAGATAAACAATCTAATTCAAATAGTTTATTTAATATAAATGCTTCTAATATAATCATTTCTAGATGAACGTACACTAAATTTATAAGAAAAGATAATCATTCAAAAGAAAGAAGGTCTTTAACATTGTTTGAATGCATTAAAACAACCACGAGACGGGTTGTGATAACATTTGATTCACTTACACTGATTTGCAATTGATAAACAGTACCGTCAGGAGTTACATCAGTTCCTCCTGCCATCACTCTTACAAGTCGAAAATTGCTTTTAGCCTCCTTGTTGTGCTCATTCACAGCAAATGTCGCGATTCCCACAACTTTAGGGTCATTTGGGTTTATGGGTTGCTGACCATTAAGGAAATTATGTTTCAGGCCATTCTTTGCAGAGGAAACATGAAAGAAAGTAGAAGCAATAACTAGGACTGAGAGACTTGAGAGGAGGAGAAAGTTGAATTGTATGGCCATTTTTTTTGAGAGGAGGAGAAAGTAGAAGCAAAACTGTCAGATTAGTGATTAAAACTAAGTGTTGTAAGTCTTATTTATAGGAGAAAGTAGTATAAAATTAGTTAGGCGAGGTGAAATTAGATAGGAACAAGGTTAGTATGTTGGTGTTGTAATGGAGCAATTTTGTGCATAATATTCATAACATGACTATGTTTGTAAATGTGAAAAAAGGGAATTTTTTTAATAATATATATTAACTGAAACTAATTATATATTCTACTAATAAAGGAACTATTATGTGATTCTAATAAATATTTTACTATTTCATGTACATTTAAACTATTTACCCTCCATCCAAATTACGCTAGCTTCCATATTATTCATTGCATCTTAAGATAAAACTTAATTTTCCTGTGATTCTGTAACTTTACCGTCACGATCCGAATTTCTCACCCTCGGGAATCGTGATGGCGCCTACTCGTGAAAGCTAGGCAAGCCAACTATTAAGGTTTTACACATTAACAATTAACCCAAACAATTATAAACAGTAACTATAGCTAAACAAATGAAAAACATGGAAGAGTTAAAATAAATTCAAATACTTCGATACATGTCTACCCACGAATCTGGTGTCACAAATTCACGAACGACTAAGATTTTTACTACAACCATTGGTCTGGAAAGAAAAATACAACTGTTCTCAGAATGAAAAGAGACAGCAAAAAAGCTAAATAGGGAAGAGGGACTTTAGGCTATGCGGACGCCAACAAATCTACCTTGGTCTCCCTGGACTGAAGGCAGCTTCCTCAGCTACTCACCGAGTCCAGTACCGAAATCTGCACAAAAGAGTGCAGAGTGTAGTATCAGTACAACCGACCCCATGTACTGAGTAAGTGTCGAGCCTAACCTCGACGAAGTAGTGACGAGGCTAGGACATGACAGTCAAATATACATGTGCAGTTAAATCATATACAAACAGAATCATAATAACAGGAATCAACAGAATAAGGTGGGGAGGGGACATGCTACGGGAGATATGAGGTTCTAACAATAAGCCAATAAAGAAACATCAATAATAAAGCATAGTGAACATCACATCTATATCAACAAGAATAAGGAAGCGGTAACACGCGGCATCACTCTTCGTGCATTTACTCTCATTCTCACCATATGATACAACAGAAATGGCATGGCATCACCCTTCGTACTTTATCTCACATAATCATGGCACAATATCACCCTTTGTGCATTAACTCTCAAATCATGGCACGACATCACCCTTTGTGCATTAACTCTCAAATCATGGAATGACATCACCCTTCGTGCATTAACACTCATAATATCGGCACAACATCACCCTTCGTGCATTACACTCACGGACAATATCATGCACAACATCACCCTTTGTGCTTTACACTCTTCCTCATCCAAACAATAGAAACAATACGTCCCAGCAAGGGATTCAACAATATCAACAATAACATCTCGGCAAGGGAATCAGCTATAACTAATCTCGTTTTCAACAATGACTTTACAAAATGGAACTTAACTTGAGTCAATCCTCAACAATAGTCAATTACCAAGAACTTTCATAATCTTTGTTCAACATTAGTAATCATCAATTGAGCATGATCGATACATAATAAAGTCACAACAAACAGGATATAAAGCCCACGGGCATGCTTGACTCCAACGTATAGATACTCGTCGCCACACCTATACGTCGTACTCGATACTAACACGTAGCAAATAGACCACAACTCTTATTCCCTCAAGCTAAGGTTAGGCCAAACACTTACCTCAATTCCACAGATAAGATTAAGCCTCAATTACTGTTTTACCTCTCGGTTCCACTTCTAATTCACTTGAATCTAGTCATAATATACTTAAGAACATCAATAAATGCTAAACAACCCAATTCTAATGCATGAAAATAGATTTCCCATTATTTTTCCCAAAAAGTCAAACACCGACCCCGAGCCCGCTTAGTCAAAACCCGAAGTTCGAACCAAAATCCGATTACTCATTCACTCACGAACTCAAATATGCAATTAGTTTTGAAATCAGACCTCAAATTGAGGTCCAAATCCCCAAAATTTGAAAATCCTAACTTCTACCCAAAAAACACCCAATTTCCTATGAAAAAACTAGATTTTGAAGTGAAATCATGTAAAAAGATGTTATGGATTGAAGAAAATGAGTTAGAAATCGTTTACCTATGATTTGGGGAAGAACTCTTTTCAAGAAAATTGCCTGTGGGAGTTTAGGTTTTGAAAAGTTGTAAAAATGAAGAAGAATCCCGTCAAAATCCCACTTAACAGGTCTCAGATGTTGCAATTGCGACCAATTGCGAACCCTTTGAAATCCTGTCATCTTCGCATTTGCGAAGGAATAGTCGCATTTGCGATGTAGGGAGTTCACATTTCCCAGCCATGAGGTCGCAATTGCGATGAGGGCCTGCCCAAGCTTGGTTCGCAATTGCGATACTTTGGTCGCATTTCCCAAGCCTGACCATTTCGCAAATGCAAAGCCTGATCAGAGGCCTGGGCAAAAATACCAGATGTCAGCTGAAATTTTCCTAAGTCCAATTCACTCCGCGGCCTATCCAAAACTCACTTGATCCCCCGGGGCTCCAAACCAAACATGCATGCAAGTCTAAAAACATCATACGGACTTGCTAGTGTGATCAAATCATCAAAATAACATCAACAACTACGAATTTAACCTCAAATTCATGAAATCACTTAAGAACATTGAAACTTTTATTTTGTCAACTAAAGGTCCAAATTATACCAAACCAATTCCAATTCTTACCAAA